TTTGGTGCTTTCATGCAAACCGTGGTTGTGGCTCTGTGGCCGGGTGCTACTCTAATCCCTGCATTGTTTTTACGGACCTGCATTCAAACCAGCGTGGCGCTTGGATGCTGGGAGCGTCGCATTAATTAGTCGTTTGGTTTGCGTTTGTCTTTCTCTTGCCCCGTCTTGCGTCGCTTCGTTTGGGCCCCTTGGAGCAAACGAACAGTATCTTGTTTTGTGCCAGGTGCAACCGTGTGCCTGGCAAGTGCGGTGCGAAATTGGCTTGGTTGGTCAGTTTGGTTTCCTGCTCAGTCTTGTTTGGCTGTTGCAGAATCTGGCAAGTATTGATTTGCAGCCTCCGCAGCTTGGGCGCTTTCTTTGTCCTGCTACGTGGTCGCCCTCCCTCCTGGAAGGGCCTCTAGGGTGGGGGCTGCTGGCACCGGAACAAAGTCAGATTTGGCTTTCGCAAGCCAGGACGAAAAGTGTTCAGCAGGCGGAGAGTGAGTGGCTTACACGAGAAGCGACGGCGTTCAGACAGCAAAAGTGGATGGATGGACTTCTAGATTGTCTTGGTGTTTCGGTTTATTGTCTCCGAACTGTCAGTATTGCCTACACCGTCCAATGGCTCCTGACGCTGTCAATATCTGGCGTCAGGGAATCAGACTTAAGTTGTCATGTGAAGCTCTCAAGGGCTGCATGCTCTGCAACCTCTGTGCAAAATGCATTCGCCCCAGTGGGCCTGGCAGCCTCGAGTCAGAGCACCTGCAGTCCGAGAAGTTTCTGTCCACTCACGCACACGGATACCAAAGGTGCAGCGCATGCCTGAACGTGCATGACGCGAGAAACTCCTGTTTCGCAGCCACCTGAGCCAAGCACGAGCCTGCAATGACTCCTCTACCTGAGTCTGTCTGCCTGCTGCTTCCACAGGATAAGCGCTCCTGCCATGAGACTTGAAACATCTCTACCCCGTGAAGCGCTTCGAGTGCGCCGCTCCTGTGCCAGCAGCACTGACCGCCACAAATGGCAAAGATCGGCGCCGAATACTTTGCCAATCGATTTTCTGCCAGCACCATCAGTCGACAAGCACATCAAGGCATGAGAGCTGAGAGTTTCCCTTGGCAGAAATGGCTAGTCAGAGCCCGTCCATCTTCGTCAGGTCGTGCCATGCTTTGCGGAACTCCAATGTGACACCCTCAGCACGAGGAGCTGGAGCAATGTCATGGGAGCTTCAAGTAACCTGACAGCAACAAGCTTGTGCAGCAGGCACACGTGCCTCCATTAGAACTATCGTCTAACCCCATAGCACTTGGATTCATGAAACAGCTTCTGTCTAAGAAGGTCAGCTGTTGGCTTGGTGTCATCAGCTTGTTTAGGTGTAATGATCTTGCATGCAACAACAAGAATTAGATCAGTCATGTCTCTGCCGCACTCCAGCAATTGCCTGTTCTGGTCCAAGTGGTGCTGTTTGCCTAAAGGCATATCTGGCATGTCAGCTTGCAGGCTAAATGAGCTGGATTTGGCGGATTCAATTGCTGGTACGGAGCATTCTGCTGATTCCGCGAACCCTCCTTTCCTTTTGCGACTTCTGGCGAACTTCGCTGGAAAAATGCACGCTCTGCTTGCATGCGTTGATAGCCGCATTATAACTATATTCGTCCAGTCTTGCTAGCAGCTTGCCCATGTCATGGAGCAACTCAAGAGCCATCGCCCACTTTCCGCTCTGCTCCAGGGCTGCCATTGCCGCATTGAACGGGATTGCATCGTCAAACAAGCGCATGTTCACAATCATTATCAGCATGGACAAGGCGGCCGACCATTCATTTGCTTTCTCGTATGCGCTCAGAACTGCGTTGTAGCCGATAATGCAATCTTGCGCTCGGTTGTAGCGCATTCCATCCAACAGCGCTTGTGCCAGCGACCACTTTGCAGACTTCTGGCATGCACTGATAGCCCCGTTGCAACCCACATCATTCAGAGTGACATCCGCTGCCTGCGGGCTTCGCACCAGCTGGATCGACCACTGCCAGTGAGAGGCTTTTTCATTGGCGCTGATGCAGGTGCTGAGACTGAACGCGTCCACATGCAAGTGTCTATGGCTTGCAGAGTGCACAACCTGGGATGCCAGCTGCCACCGCGCTTGCTTCTCACAAGCGCCATTTGCGGCGTTGTACATCACGATATCACTTCGCAAGGACACGAGATGCACAGTCTCTAGTGTTGCAAAAGCCCACTTCCACTCAAAGCCTCTTTGGCTGGCGCTCATACATGCCGAATAACTACCAGCATCAGGTTGCGGGGCGCAAACAATCATGGACTTGAATAGGTGTAGCGCACCTACCCAGCAATCACCGCAGCAGCCCAGCAAAGAACTCCAAGTTACTGCATCCGCGCGAAGCTGGAGCAGCTTCGACATCCTCAAAATCTGCATGCCCTGCCGCCATTTGTGAGATTTGCATGCACGAAGCACAGCATCCACGCCTGCCATCATCCAAGAGGTTTGCGAGAGTATCCACAGATGCACAGTGCTGAGTTGGTGGTACGCTTCTGGCTCCACAACACAAGTGCAGGGGCCTGCATCAAAGAAGGCTGATAAAGAAAGAACAAAGAGAGAAGCTCCATGAAAGCACAGTGCAAACAGCAGGAGCGAGAGAGAGAGAGAGAGAGAGAGGGGGAGAGATTGAGAGTGCGGGAGAATTTGAAGGGAAAAACAAAAGGAGCAACATAGAGGGGATCAATGGAGGTACTGCAACATGCCTGGCAGTGGATTCACCCCGCTACGCAGGATGCTTCGCTTGTCGCAACAAGGAAACCGACGCGACACAAAGGGTTTAGGCTGTCGACCAAGCCACACATCTTGTCTATCGTCAGGCCCGAGGTGGACATCAGCTGGACAGATGATATTGAGAACCTAAGCACGCGAGGTTCACTGAAAGCAGTCAGCTCTCAGCAGAAGGTCCCGCAACTGCCAGCGGCTAACAGTAACGACCAGGAAGCTGCCAGTGCTCGGAAGCATCAAAGGCGGCCAGCAGCGAGCCATAGGATACAGTGTTGGGAGTAAGGAGCAAGTCCTTGCAAGTTCTTGCAAGTTCTTGCAGTCGCATTCGGACACACAACCGCGTGTGACAACCTGGAATTCCGCCGAGGCACCTGCATGCGGCCAAGGACCTGGAGCCCAACCAGCCAGGAGCTCTGGCAAGAACTCAAGACGGAGCTGCAGCTGATGATATCTGACCTTGGCTGGCCCAATAAGTGTTTTGCCAAGTAGCGCAAGATCAAAGAAATCTGCACACTCAGGACCATTACTCCTTACTACCGAAAGCTGTTGCTAGCGAATATGGATGCAAAATGTTCACCGAAGATGCTGGAGAGCATGAGCAGAAAGATGATCCAGGCAGCCTGAGCCATGCAAAATAAATGCAGGATTCAGGTATGAAGCCACAATCTTTTCGAAATGGACACGTCGTGGATTGAATCACATGCAGGTTTTGCGGGAGGTGCAGTGCTCGGAATCTTCGTATTCTCAAATCAAGCGGGCTCTCGCAATCTCACCAAGCTTCTGTGGAGCGAATGGTCGTCCCAGCCAAAGTGTCTGATTCTCTCACAAGGCACTACTGATGATAGACAAGTGGCACAGTGACGAGGGCCAAACCTTCATGTTCGAAAACGCCTTCATGATGCTGGTCAGGGTATGCAATCCACACTGCACACATATCCAGGACATTTCGCGGGTAATCTGTAAGGCTGCGCTCCATCGAGTGGTTGATGCCTTCACGCAAGCGTCGTATGCGCTGGCATGGGGAGATCCTTCAAGTTGCCTCCATTCTCTGAGCAGCTGCAGTGCTGAATTCCATCTGTTGGGAGGGCAACTGCCTCAACTCACGTCGCTCGGGCTGTTGCCATCAAATGCACAAAAGTCGCATGTGATAACTGCTGAGAAATGGCGCATGATCGTGTTGTAGCTCACGTGGTTGGGGAGAACTCGTCGAAGCTTCACGCAATCTAGACGGTATAAAGCAAGCTTCCAAGCAGAGTGCCGTGAACAGGCATGCAGGCCGATATTTTCATGGAAAACGTTCACGTCAATCCTGCTCTGCGCGGCGACGAGCAACACCTGCGCGGCCGTTCTTCAAAGTATGCTGTTCGCAGCAGACGTGAAAGGCACCATACGGCAGATGGTTAATTCTGAGTTGAAGAGATATCGGTTCTGGGAGCGCATTATCATGGCATTGATCAGCGTTGTACAAGCGACTGGGTGTTGTCACGTGCTCTCATAAACTCTCGCGTTGCAGGAGTTCTACTGTCCTTGGGGCGTGTCATTTTGCCTTGCCGTTGGTGAAACATGGCGAACGCTCAATTTTGCCGGCCCTCTCCTGGCTCTTGCCAGGTGATACAGCTGTGCTGGCTAGCGGTTAGGTCAGCAGGGTGCAATGTAAAAAAAAAAAAAAACATGCGTTCCCCGTATTCTTCCTGTAGCAGCCTCTAGAACTGACGATAGGCTGCTGCGGGTGGCATTTTGCAGTGTCTTGGTCAAGGTCTTGGGCTCGGTTCCTCAGTTTTCCCGATGCGACCTTTGCAAGCAATACGCCCCCAAAAACCGTTGTTTCACAATAAGATTGAATCGCTGAACTAAGCTGTGCAACTGCTGCCATGGTGCTACACGTCTGCAGCTTCCATTCATTGGAAATGGCAATGCTAGAGCCATGTTCGCGGCCAAATTGCGCAATGTCCGGCGAAGAAGCATCCACAGAACGCATCAGCGGACACAAGCATCTGTTTGGCTGTCATTCCACCAAATCAAAGAACGAACAGCTGCAAAAGCAGAAGCTGCCTACCCTTGTCTGTAGGCTTGAGCAGCATCCTTGCTGAAATCAGGACGGAAATCACCACATGCAAAAAATGCAACAGTACAGCTCTGGCACGCAGCAAGCAACGTGAAAAGCACCGCTCTTCCATCTGCCGGCGTGGGCTGAAAGTAAGAGCGGTGGGCTGCGTGGGCTCATACTAAGCGGACACAATGCATCTCATTTACGTCCCCTGGCCAAACAAATGAAGAAATGGGAAAATGCTCGAACAACTTGACATCTTCATCTCCACCGGCCTCGCGTGTTTACGCGCCTCTGCTTTCGCTGAGGCACTGAGCTCTTCGTTGCGAGCCTTCTTGCCCTCGAAATGTGCTTCTTGCATATGTTTCATTTCAAGGCAACGCTGCTTCAGCATCGCACAACCATTGCCTTCACCAAAGAGCGGATGCTGATTGAAGTTGAAGCTTCCATGATCTCACTTTTGGTCTTTTTCCCATCCTGCTGGACAACAACCATATCATCACAGCATCATCTACCTTTACTTCCAAACGAATCGGAAGGCTCTTCATCGAGAAGACCATGAGTTTGTCCTTGGGCCCTTCTTGTGCTTCCAAAAGTGCTTCGACTTTGTAGCCACTGAGAAGCAGCTTCGCTGAAGCACCTTTTACCGAACCCAGCAAGGCAGTGCTGCATGGTGCCCCTGATGCCCACTGATATTGCCCAATGACTAATACGGCAGGGTTGCTCATGCCAGCATGCTTCTCAGCTTCCTCAATCTCTTTGAGAACCTCTTCTTCCGTCATTGCTGCAAGCCGCTGCCTTTCCAATCGTGCCTGCAAGCAGAGATGCACTAAGGCATACCAAGGCACAATGCAACCATGCTCCAGCTTCAGCCGCCAAGACCATGCATGAGGACCTTGTCCCTGCGGGACTGCTGTTGGACAGGGGGCTTGTCCTCAACGTAAGCACGGCCCATGGCTCCTCGACGCCTGCAGCATCACCCCTTGAGGTTCAAAGCTTTATGGATGCAACCGCTTGGGCCTTTGGGGCGGCTGGCTCTTTTGACGTTCTTGCTTCTCCTGCCCAAGAAGCAACGGAGGCATCTTGAAAACCGTTTTGAGGAACACGTCGCTGGTCGATATGTTCGCAATAAGGCCTGCTGATTCTTGTGCAAATTGCAGGCATGCTGGAACTTCTTCAAACTTTGCGGGCGCATCTCCTCCTGCAGACAGTGGCACCCCAGGCGTTCGTAGCTTAGCATGTGCATTCTTCTCAACCCTGCGTCCTTTCGACGCATCATGACGGTCTTCAAATGGCAAAAGAGATCCAACTGCAGAATTTCGGCCTGCAAGTGCACAGGGACTATATAGCTGGCTGCGCTTCTGCAACGCTCTCTAACTGACACTCTCACTGCTCCGCCTTGGCAAATATAGTGGCAATCTGCGGCAGCGTAGAATTCGGATTTCCCACCAACCTACACTGAGACTCAGGCGGCACTGTTTGTGTGATCTGGCAGAGCTGCAACGCAAGTTGCTGGACTAGCAACCAGTCACTCAGCGCGACGTTTGCGGTAGTCAAGGCGCGGCAGGCATAGTCAGCAACATCCTCGAAGAACCTGCCCGCAAAGCGAAGCATGCGTACGAGGTAGTTCAAAGCTTCAGACTGCAGCAGAGTTCCGACATACCTACAACCTGTGGGCACGCATCTCATATTAATCCTGCTAGGAAGCTCGCGGTCAACCCGATGCAAATCCAGCAGTGACTTGCAAATGTGCACGAGGTCCTGCTGCGATTCGCTTCACATAACATGGTGCAATGCAGCTATGTATGTCAACACAAGCATCCTGCAATGAGAAAGCGGCTGCTGGGCTTCTGCTTCCCGAACTGCTTGTGGCAGGAGCACAGATCTCTGGACTGAGCTCCTTCTCGAAAATTTTTCACGCAGGTCAAGCTACTCTGCGGAATGTTGACTTGCAAACGTGCCTGCTGTAAAGGGCAATCCATGAGCGATACTGCCCGCAACATCAATGCCTTCCAATGTGGGGAAGTGCTGCATCCACGACCAAACCTCCTTGCGTTCCTTTCACGACCCGCCTCGAGCAAATCATCGTCTACTATCTTGGCCATGGAGAAAGCCATCATGACGTCGGTGATGACCTCAGCGCAGTCCCACACCATGCTGCTGACAAAGCAACAGCCGCACTGCAATGTTCTTCATGAGACCAAATGCCAAACATCAAGCCCATGGTGCCTTTGGAGAAAGGCTGGATGCTCCCTCCTTTAACTGGCATCGACGTATGCACTCCTTCAAAAAGCAAGGCAAATGGTGCTGCGTCAGCCCTCTGCTGCTGATGTTGCCGTGCAAGCCAGCTTTCTCCTGCTTGACCACACTGAAAAGGCCAGGGTTTCTGACACCAGCCTGCAAAATGGACATCAAGATTGCAAAAATATGCAGAATTTATTTCAGCAAATTGCCGCATGCAATGTCAGAATCACAGCTCCACCCCCTCAACTTGCAAGAGAGAAATGCCAGCAGGAGCCATGATAATCAAAGTTCAGAAACAAAAACCCGACAACACCCAGAATGCGCCAAGCAAGCACCTTTAGCTGTTAAGCCCTTTACGCACAATCCTCGTACCCTCGAGGCTTTTGGTTGCCGACTTCCCAAAACCTCTTCAACAAGGACACAAATCCAGCATGTTCCACGTGCTTTTCCGAGGATGCTGACGAAGCTGCTCGCAAGGATTCAGTCAAATCAGAACTGGGGTCAACACGCGTGAAAGGTATTGAATCACAACTGGTTTTTGGCATTGCCAGACCAAGAGTCGCTCGGCAAAATCTGTTCACACTGCGGCTACGTACTGGTGAATTCGGTGTGTCATTATCTGTACTATTTCTGATTCTGCAAGCGCATGGCCTTGGACGAGTACACGGCCCCCTACGCGAGAATGTGGTTTCAAAACTGCGCAAAGCAACACGATGGCTACTCAGAGGGTCTGAAGCACTTCATATGTTTGGTAGACTCTGCAAGATTTGCGCCTTGGCAAAAATGTAGCCCAATCTTCCCAACGCATCTCTGTCCAAACTTGTAATCTGCTCAGCCACGTACCGAGCCACCTAGCTGGTCAGTGGCAAGATCTTGCAAGCAAACGCTGCACCTGCATGTGCGACTGCCTCTTGGAAAACAAAGTTGACAACGTTGTTGGATTCCATTATAGTCTGCAGCCTCATAACAACATCACACAATCTCAGCAAGTGCAATCAAAATGCCCGAAACCCAAGTGCAAATTTGGTACATGTACACCGCTGAGATTGGATGAATTTCTGGCAGCCTCCCCAACAAACTGGCCTGCATGGAGAAGTTATTGCACGCAATCGACGGTTTCAACAAGCAACATCCAATAGCAGCAATGGCCTTGTCTTCAAGATCATTCAGGTAATCGAAGAACGCTTTCCCAGCGTAGCCTCAGGCAAACCGAAACAAAATCACAACAGCACATAACAGCATAGTTTCAAGCGACAAACGATACAATGATACAAACTCTGCAAAAAGTTCCGTGCAAACGTGGAACGGTCGGGACCGCATCCTGAGCGTTCCGACCCAGCAAATTGCCAAAATGTTATCTGCCGGCTGTCGTGGAATGTGAGCGGTGTGCGACACCTGGCATATTCCTCCACAGCCCGAGCTGCCAAAGCTTTATAGAGTGCTGCCGGTGCATGGACCAAAGGCCTCATCTGGCAGAGCAACTTTCTGCAATCGCCACGGCTCATGTGCTTGATGCTGGACACTTCTGGCATCCCGCTCTTGCTGTTTGTTGCTACATGCTCGGGACGACTTTCGTCTGCAGCTGCATCACTCCAGAGTGGATTCAATGGAGTAACTTCTGGTGTCACCTCGGGGATGGTGTTCTCCTCTCGGCCTTCTAATTCACGCATGACATCCCCAAACTTGGACTTCAGGACTCCAAGCTCTTGTTTCCGTTGCTCTTTCAAGCCGGTTTCCCGCTGCCGCTTCCGAGTAACGCTGGTGAGCCATGTTTGGCTCTTGCTCTTTGATACCTCGAGAAGAGAATCAACTTCAAGCTGAATCTTGTGCGGCTCATCACCGCAACTCTCCAGCAAGGACTCGACGTCTTGCAAGCTGTACCCCACGTCTTCCAAAACCGGCAGGAGCGCTTCAGCCTGTCTACGTCGCATACTCTGAACCTTTCCATTGGACACTTCCTCCAAACGCTTGCGCTCAATTTCTTGATGAACAAGCCTCTGCATGTGTGCTTTTTTGGCATGTTTGGATGTGAGCTGCGGATTGAGGGCAGATGCTCTGAGTCCCAAATTCCCATCTGCTTGAAAGTTTTTGGCGTCAGAAGAATTTCCGACATTCGGAAGGCACGCTTCTTTTGAGCTTTCCTGGTCCGAACCATCTGAAAAAGGAAGAGCTGACAAGTCTGCCGGGTCCTTCAACGTTTCACTCGAAAGGCCACTTGGTGTCGGCGCAAGGTGACTGCCAGGATCCAACATGCTATGCAACAGCGACTCATGAACATCAGGGGATGGCCAAGCATGACTGCAGTAGTCCAAACAGTGTTGCAATAAATCACTGTGTTCAAACGATAGTGCAGGTTCGCAAGCTTGTGCAATCGGCGGGTGCTGGTCGGTCTCAAGCAGCTCGCAAGAATCACTTGAAGCATCCGAAACCTCGGTGGAATCCAACCAATACGCCTCTTCGTCCGCATCGACTTCAGAACCTGAAGTGAGTTCCAAAACCTCCTCCTCAGATGCAACTTCTTGCACATCATCGCTGTCGTAGGCCATCGCACTGGGAAGCCGTGGCGGCATACTTTTGTGAACAAAATTTATGCGTCTTCTACGAAACACGGGAATGCATCCAATAAATCTGGAAAATAAAGCTCAGGATAAACAGGCATGGCTACACACGATGCGTTTACTTTCTGCACACCAATCTTGTAGCATTGTGTTTGATCCGAAATATTCTGCGCAGCGAATTTCTGTCCCGCCCTGCCCCCCCCCCCCTCACACTGAGACCCTCCACTGGAGTCGGAAAGCGGAGTACCGCTTGTCCACAACGACATGTTTGCAAATCTGGATTCCATGCAAAGTGTGTTTGGTCACTGCCAGGCACTTTGCGGAGCTTCGAAATCTTCACGGCCAAGCTGTGGCAAACTTTCCACCGCTGACACTACTGCGTCCTTCACGAAAGCTGCTGTGTCGTCCATGGCAGCGAACAGCGAGTCTCTGGCCAACTTGGTAAGTCCTTGAGATATTGATTCCACATGTCGAAACTGCCCACATGCCGGTAGCATCAATGGCCTTTATCTGCACAGCCAATGTACCCAATGGACCGTGCACATGCCTGCTCAGGACAGTGCACAGAAAGCCTTAGAACCTGGCATGAGCCAGAGAGAGAGACGAAGATCCATGACATTTAGGCCTCTCGCACCACTTCAGCCAGGTCTGTTCGGAGACTCTGCGCGAGGGGCAGTAGGCATGTCTCGCCAGCAAGTTCAGCTCGTGCACCAAGCCTTGGGTTCCGAAGCAAGAAGTGTTTACCAGCCTGACCTTCCAGGATATCAAACTTAAGCACTCTAGCAGGGGCAGGCAGCTTCCTGACATGTGCTTACCTTGGTCTGGGCCTCCAGCGCTTGCGCCGCCCGTATTCGAAGTCGCAGCTGCTCGTCGGACTGGGAATTAGGTCGAGTTGCACCATCATGCAGCAGTTCGACCAACCTCCAAGCTGGTTCCAAGCAGCGCATGATTCAATCCACTGCAGGCAAATGCAGCCAGCAGGCTCGTCGACGTAGTCCATTCCTGCAACCCCACTCCAGCCCGCCGCGAGCGCAGCGAGACCCCGAACCTCCGACATGCGTGACACATTGTAGCGCGGCGACATAGCACATCAAGATGATTCGGAAAGCAAAGCGCGGCCATGTGAGGCCTCAAGGACCTCGTGCTTGAGACCACCAAGTGACATGATAGCCTTCAGGCCGTCTCGACCAAGGCAGCCAAGGGCTCGCGCAGAAGCCTCGCGCACGCAGGCCTCAGGGTCCTGCAACGGCAGTTTCCTCTGCATGGGATGGGCTCTCTTCCAACCAACACTCATCAAAGCGTCGCCCTCACTCAGGCCTGCTGCACAAGCCTCAACAGCCGGGGTATGGCACGAGGTGACTCAGCCGCCGTGGGACCGAATCTGCTGAGGGCTTCCGCTGCCGCCTCCCTGCCACGAGCCTGCCACAACAACTGCCGCATCTTGCCTCGTCTCGAACATGCCAAACCTAACACTCCAGCTTCCAGCTTCAAGATCCCCACGTCTGGGTCTCTCAGGCATCCCGCAATTGATGCCAGCAAGTTGGATGAGTCGGGAAGACAGAGGGAAGGTCCCAACCTCACTTAAGGCAGAACTTCCTTCTCTCAATGACTTGCCGTCCTTCGGCCCTCTCAGTGCCCAACTCACCTAGCAAGTGCAATCCACGGAGTCGGGCTGACAGTGCAACTTCTCCTGCAGCAACATTATTCCATCAATAAGGCGAAACGATCTCCTCTTTCCTCCATGCTGCAAGAGCCATGGTACGCTGGATGTCTGATAATTTCAAATTCCCCTCACTGTTTACGTCTCTGCATCTGCTTCAAGCTCAGGCTTCTTTGCCGCCTTGGCACCCTTCTTGGCCATGAGCAATTGCTCTGCAGTGGCATACTTGCATTAAGTGGTATGGGTTTAGGTTCTTTACCGGAGCAGCCTGAGATGCGCGCCCTGTGCGTGATACTTCGCACAAGCACCCGTCTTCCCTGCCCCAGCCTCTTTCTGCTCAATGTTTTGCCCCCCTTTCCCTTCATTTGCTAGTGAGCATTTTGCACCAGCCTTGGCGCGCTTGGCTCTGCTGAGCATATTTGCCTCCAGCTGAGCATATTGCACCCTCCGATGTTTCACTTCGCTGCCGAATTCCAATACCTCCTGGTGCGGCCGGTCGTGTTCTTCTTCTCGCGGGTGCTCGCTTCCTTTGGGTATGTTCTGGCTGGACGTGCTGAGCAATCGTCTGCTGGGGCGTGGGAGCTTGTCCCCTGAGCCGGGCAATGAGCAACTGGGTTCAGTCTCCTGTGTATTTCCTTGCAATTTCCCTCCGGGTTCCCATCCTGATCCTTTGCAGACTGCTTGGCGGTCGTGGTTGCCTCCTCCAGCTCTTATCCTCTCTATGCTTCGTCACCCACGCAACTTATGTGAAGTCCCTCTGCTTGTGCCTGCTCCTCCTCCGAGTCCTGCAGGCTGAGCCTACTGTTGGGGTGACGACCGGCTGGCGTCAAAATGTTGACAGCAAGGTATTCTTGGACCAAGTTTGCAAGTGACATTGGGCACTTGAACAGAGGACAGCTTCAACAGGAGCAGGCGATTACCCGTTCTGTGGCCCAAATGACTTTCTTCGGATCGTCTCTGCAATCGCTGACGCAAAGCAGCTGAACGAGGAGAACCCATGGCCAGAAGTCTCCAGTCCATCCATACCGGATTCCGGAGTGGTGACCTTGGATCTGAATGCTAAGCGGCATGGGCAGTCTGTCCCTTGACTGTTTCAGGCAAAGGTGATCTTGCAGTGCTCACACTTGATGTGAACGCGGCATGTCTTCCGGCACTGAGACAACTGGGAGTCGAGACGGGGCGTTTGCCCTCTCTTTCTGGGGGCTGGGAACGACCCAGGCGCAAGTCCACCCTTGTGATTCTACCCAAGCATGTCGCGCACTGCCCCCAAACAAAATGCAAATAAGTTAGTCAACACTAACTAACAAAAGGTGGGCAACGATAGTGAGTGTATGCTTGACATCAAGGGTTCCCAAACCAGAAGGCAGCAGGTCTCCGGCGTGCAGAGAAAGCCACCGATGACAAACACGGTCAAGCACGAACATTTCAGTATCAATCACTCAAGGTTCCAAGATTGCTGCTTCAACAATGGTTGCCACGCATGTTGTTCACGCACAGCTTTGGATGTTTGTTTCGTTCAGGCAAGCGAGACAGTGCTGCGAGATATCAAGACACTTTATCAAAGAAGTTCTGCCACATCAGCTCTGGGTTTCCTTGCTCTACCAGCCATCGTTCCTCCACTGTTGTCTGCGCAAGAACTCGCCCTAATCAATGATGGTTCTCCAGGGGGCAACGCATGCAATGCTGCGGAGAAGGGTTTGCCCCGGCACTCTCTCCTTCTATGGGCTAAGCAGGACTCTAGAGCTGCGGGATACTGATTTTCTCCTGGGCACATGTGCCCCGCCCAACGCAAATGTTTGGCTTCTGTCCACTGTGAATTGACGAAGGGTTGTCTCCACTCCAGGTGCTAATCCCTGGTCTTTTTCGCTTTTTCTTTCCTGGTTGCACCTCATCTGATTTTTTCCACCTTGCCGCTCTCTTTTCTTTGCACCCAACCTTGTTTGTCTCAATTGTGCATTGCAGGCTTGCAAGATTGCGTTGGGAGGGGGGGGGGGCTCTTTGCCCCCACCGAAACTGCTCGTCTTGGTCCACGGTTTCAGGTGCAGTCGTCTAACGCACGAGTAGGACACATAAAGCACTGTCCCTCTCTCGCTCTCCATCTGCTGTGCATGGCCCACATCAACTTTGGGGAGATTTGGAGGCGAGAACAAGACACGGAGTGGCAGAAGGGCGGGGAGGCGCGGCATGTTGACTATCAATAAGTGATGCCTACTGGCATGCAATTGTAGTGTTGCTCCTGATGACTCGGGCACTAGCAAATCGACCGGCGCGCCGCGCTCCAACAGCCATGCCGTGACCGCAGCTGCTGGAACTTTCTCAAAGCTGGCAGATCCCGAAGTCCATGCCGCCAGAGCATGTGCGTCAACCGCCGACATCAGCTCTCCTCTCACTTCCTACTGGGATCTTTCAGTTGAAACTTGACAATGGGCAACTGGCTCCTGAGGATGAGCTCTTGGGCCACCAAGATCGCTTCTTCTTCGCTGCAGCACATGCCCCCGCCGCGGCTTGCATGTCAACACACATCTCCTGTCGCTCATGAGGCCACTGGTGGTTTCACACAAGCTCGCTTCCACACAGCTGGCATCTTCCCAAGCACTTCGCCGAAGTATCCTGAACCCTGAGAAACTTCACAACTTGCTAAAACTTCGAAGAACTGCCAAACAGGGATCAAAAAGAGAAGGCATTTTGTAGAGCTCCCTAGGAATGCTGTCAGAGGCATCCTCACATGTTGGTTTCATAGGCTCAAAATTCGGCTCTCGCGTGGAGCGTCGTCACAGTTCAGCTCGAAATTGCACTCTCGCATGGAGTGTCCTCACATCCTGGCCAAGAACACCATACGGAATGAATTAAGACATCCCACATTAAAACACGAATTCATACCTGTAGACATTCAATCTTAATCTCCCAGTGAGACCTAATACTGATATATCTATTTGTGTCAATACTGGTGTTGGTATTCATGGCGTGTCTGATGGGTCTTAACTAGTTTTAATACGAATATGAAATCTGGTCTTGATGTTATTCTTAAGATTCTATGGCATCAGCATTACTGCTACTGGTCCTAGTGAACTAGACATAATACTGGCATTAGCATGGGGGTTAGTATTAATGGCTCATTATTGGCAGCATCTAAAGTTTGGACTGGTGCCTCACCGAGAGGACACATGTTACATACTGCTGCTCTCCGACAGCTGCACGCAGTCGGGGTTGAGGTCAATCACTCCTTAACAGCACCTCAAGATTGGAAAAGTGCAGGGCAAAATGCTCAAGCCTTTCAACACACGTGCCCTGCCCGCTTCCCAGGGAAGGGAAAATGACATGAAAGAAAATCGGTGGGGCCACACTGCCACAC